ATATGTGGTCATTTTTTACATTTTGTTTAAACTTTGTCTAGACATTATCCCTAAAATTAGGCCTAATTCTGAAAAAATGGCCCTGCTAGGAAAATGTATAAACATCTCTTAAGGATAAAATGGAAAATGTAATTCTTGGTAAGTGTCTGGATGATCAGTCTGGTCTAAAGAAGGCCAGGGTAAGGAAAATTCAGTTATGACATTGACTGTTAAAAGCTGTAGAATATTAACCAAATGTGTATTTTTTTGCATTGTGCTATGGGTCTATGGCCTTGCCATTTAAAACCAGGGAGTTGTTTGAGACTCAGGTGGCCCAAAAAAGGCATTCCAGGAATTGTGTTAGAAAAGGAAAATGTAAGTTGGTGCTAGTGTAGCCTTACAGAGTAGGGCTGGTGCTTTGGTTTTGGTCAAGCCCAATTGGCTGACATACTAAGGTGTAACATTAGGCAGTAACCTGGTGACTCAAGACTGGTGCTATAACAGAACAGAACAGTAGATTATAAACGTGGATGGGAATGAAGTCTAAGTTAATAATAACATGGAAGAGGCATATTCCTAAAATTTCCTAAATTGAATTTTTAGTTATTTATAAAAATCTGAAGGTATTTTTTTTTTTTTTTTTTTAAAAACATGTAATTTTCTTTGTGAAATTCATTCTCTACTTAATTTCTCTAATTTATCAACACGAGAAAATAATATATCATCAATCTTTTTTGACTGATATATAATTTTTTTTTTTAAACTGGCTTCTTAAGAGTTTTATATAATATCAGTGCAAAAAGCAGATGTGTGGAGTTACTCATAGCGAGCAATCCTTACTAGGTGCACAAGTCTTTATACTCTCTTTTTTAACATAGCACTACTCTTTGCACTGTAATTAATTAAGCTATTGAGGGTAGTTATATGGGGTATCCTGGCAGGTTATCAGGCTGGGGGATCCTGGCAGGTTATCAGGCTGGGGGATCCTGGCAGGTTATCAGGCTGGGGGATCCTGGCAGGTTATCAGGCTGGGGGATCCTGGCAGGTTATCATGCTGGGGTATCTTCATCTTTCTGTGTTTGTACTAGGGTAGCTTCAGGGAAATCAATTTTTTTTTTATTGGATGTAATGCAATGTTTGGCCTGGTGCTTATTCTCGTGGTGCTATTTTAGCCTGATCATTGCAAGGGCTTTTGGATATTTGATAATTTTAGGCTGTTTCATAAAAAAAATGTTAAGGCTAAAATTAAAAATAAACTACTGACTAGTAATACATTATATTGGACTATAAAGGAGACTGATTTTCAAAAAATAAAAAAAAAAAGCACAATTTTTTTTTTTTTAAAGAAAAAACAAAAGAAAAACAAGGCAAATTTGATATAAAATACATTTGGTGGTAATTGTAAGAATTATCTGTAGAGGTAAAGCATAAATCATATTTCAAATTTTGCCTGCCATTCATATTTATTTATCTGTCATTTCTCGTAAGTTTCAAGCTTGTCTTGTTTTGTGATAAGCCATTTCTGAAAATGATTTTGTTTCATATATTGAGTATGCAGTAATATTTAGATAAAGATAAAATTCTCCAACAATTATACCCAATTTATTGCTTTCAGGATAAGCATAACATGATAATCCCATAAAAAATGAAGATCACCTTATTACGGTTTTAAATTACAAATATGCAACATTTAAAATGGAAATGTAGATTGTTTAAATCTGTTTTAAGGTAACTGACATGCAATAATAAGCAATTATTATTATTATTCTTGTTAAATTTGTAAAAAAGTTTAAAATAGATGTGTTCTAACAAATAATATGAGTATAATTTTAAGACTAAATCTTTTAAATGCAAATATACTGTTAACTAATAACATGGTTTAGCACTAAGCCACTGCTGTAGACTGTGGCCCTGTTAGGTGTTGAAACCCAAGGTTATTTGAAGCTCAGTTTATAGATTACATTCTTGTGCAAAATTGCGTTTATCCCATTTGTGAGAGCTCTCTAGTGTTTGTAAAAGTGGTGACGTGACCTTTTTGTACCTTATTATAGCCAGGAAATGACAAATGAAAGAAAATTAGATTTGTTGGAAAATACTCATACTGTATATGTAAATACAATGACTGGTGCTCTTAATTGTATAAAGAAGTATTCCTGAATCCCCACAGGGAACATGTGAAAGCACAAGGGTTCAATATTATTGAATCATTTCAAAATACAAGTCAAGATCTACAGGTGGCAAACAAGGATTGGTACAAAGTAAGCACTTTTGACATCCTACATTAATTGTATGTTAGCTGAAACTCATCTGATAAAAAAAAAAATCTCCATTCAGATAATAATTTGTATATGAAATAAACAAATGCAACAAATACTCAAATTTGGAAGTTTGGGATTTTGTATTTGCTGAGTTTGCTCATCTTAATTCACAGGAAGCTGCTGTTCACAGTGTAAGCTCTAACAGCAGGATATAATCTAGAGTACCGATGTGGGGGTTAGTAGAGATCACCTGGGCCCTCCATAGAAGATGATCAGCTGGATCCATAATAGTACAATTACAGATTTCAAACAGTGAGTAATTTGGGATTAGAGAACCGATCCTCATGAATTAAATATGTGTAAATGCGTCCAATGCCTGAAAACCATACATTACAGACAAAACACTGTTAAATAATGAATGTCTTTATAAAAGCATTTATAAACAAATAAGAACGGTCTCTGTGGTCTTCAGCCACCAATTAAATGTCAGCATAGCATGCACCTTTAAAACACTTTGATGAATAATGACAATAGTCGTTACAAATTCCCAACACCCAAAATTGTATGTAAATAGTGACTATGGCATGGAAAACTTTCTGAAATTTGCTGAATTATAGATTAAACCACAGGATTAGAGAAAGCATTTTCAGTGCGTCATCCACTGTTGTATGAGGTCATATCTACTACTGATTAAAAGAAAGAAAGAGATACTCTAAGACTTTATTTTGAAATTATTTTGGACAAATTTCTTGCTTTACTTAAACATGAATTTGAGATTAGCTGCACCTTAAATTGTAGTTATTAAACCATATTCAACAGCCTGTGGACTACTCAGTCACTAAGGGTACTTCTGCTAATGCCAACAAATCAACAGCCACAGAATTATTAAGAGTCTGCCCACCTTTTCTAATGGCATCATTCTATCACTAGTAATCGAAATTCTGTAGTGTTCCACCCAGCGAGGAGAGAACATCCACTAGGTAAAGCGGAGTTGTGCTTTAATATTTTTGCTGCTGGCAAGGCGTCACTAGTCACAGTGCTTGTGTGACATCATCTGCAACATGAATAATGTTAGGTAATTGCTTAATAGTGATATGTTCTACTATTCCGTACATTTTTTTTTCAAACCTGAGGTTTCAGTTCTGTGCATTGAATTATTAAAAAAAAAAAAAAAAAAAGAAAAGCCAATGGCAGAAAATAGAATGGAGACTGATTGTACCTGCAAGTATTTTCTGAGAATGATTCATACTGACAAAAAAATAAAAAACTGCACTAATATAGCTTTCATAATATTAATCTGTTTTACAAAAATCTGTGTAAAACTGCTGATCGTAAATACGGGCAAGTACAATCAATATCTGCCTGCGTGTAGGTTTTTTAGCCAAGCATTCCAGTCTTTAAAAGTATGGATAATTTCAGGCATAGGACACTTTAGCCCTTATAAAAAAAATGCAAAGGGAAATGCTGTGTAGTCTGGACAATGTAAAATAAATGTTTACTGATATAAACGTTTCACCATGCTTTCAGTGCTGTCCTCTGTGCTTTATGACCAAACATTGCCTTTATTAGTGAATTGATTCAGCACACAAAATGGCTTCATTTAACATGTACTTTTTATTTACTGAAACATCTTCACCAGCTAATGGTTTCTTTTTCCTGTATTATTAAACGTTCTTTATCATTTGTGTTCTGGATTTTGAATGTAATTTTGAATGACCTGGACTTCACTCTTGTTAGTGAATCACAATTCAACTTCTGTCATACACAATGTTAGAATGTGAAAAACTGCATCCAATATACAAAGTACTAGTTTAAAGGGTCAGATCAACCAAAACTGATATTTGGCTTGAATAGATAACAACTTCCTTTATCCCATGCCATGGCCTTAGGGTAGGGGGATTTCTAACTTTCCCTTTGAATGTTATCAATATTGTGGAGATAAGACCTCTTGTTAGGAAAAAAAAGTGAGACTCCATGTATAAAGAGTCCAAAAATGTAAGAACTAAATGACCGATCCAATTTACCAATATCTATTCAAAAATAAAACATCAGTATTGAACGGACTGACCTTTTCAATATAAGGACCACAACTAAATGATGAATTTATTCTACTTTTAAATGAAGGAAATGTATACTGAAAGATTTCTTTTAAAAGCTAAAGTTGTTTTCTATATATATACCTATATACAAGTGATCTATGTAATGATTTTATTTTTACGATTTCTCTGTTTTATTTTTGTGTTTGCAATAAATATGAGTGCAACTATGAAAACCGTGTCCTGTCTGTTTTTAATGTCAAATGCACTTCTGTCTTCCAGAAAAGAATTTATAATTTTTTTAATGAATGCAGGCATGTTACAGAAAATGTGTGATAGTAAGGTCCCTTTCACATGGGGATAGCAGGGGATCAGCTCAAAGATAGAGACACATCCATATTTGCTCAGTTTGTGCAGCGTGCACATGGACAGAGCCTACTCTGTTCTATGGGCGGCTGGGGGTAAATGAACCCTGCTGTCCGTTTACACCTGGCTACCCTCCGCTCTGCCTAAACAGAAAAGGACTAATCCTACTCCGGAGGTAGGCGGGTGTAAACGGACACAAGTCTGTTTCCATCCACCTGTCCATACGCATGCATGGACCTTCCGATCAGATCAGGTTTCTCCACATGCAAAAATCAATTTTCAACGTCATACAAATCACATGTTTAAAAAGGAAATGCCGCAGTGACATGTGTAGGTGAAGACTGAACATGAGCAGGAAGAGCAATTAATGTGAATCTGTTAATCTGTAGCAGACAATGCTGCTAAGGCATGAGTAAGCAAATGTTTTTTCTATTATTATGAAGGGTTTAGTCAGGGGCGGACTGACAACTCATGGGGCCCCTGGGCAATAGGGGATCATGGGGCCCCTGTGCCCTTGCCCAAACTCAAAAAAGCCTATGAAAAAGGTACCAGGGGTATCTCATGGGGCCCCTACTGACCCCGGGCCCTTGGGCAGTGCCCGAGTTTTCAAATGGTCAGTCCGCCCCTGGGTTTAGTACATTTGTAGAAGAACCTAAATTCCTTTTATACCTTGCAAGTTACACTACAGTCACAGGGCTTGAAAATGAATAAGTCGATATGAAAGATGGAGTTGTACAGTGAATTTTGAAAACAGACAATAAAAATCTATATATTATAACAACACTGATTCCGCACACTCTATTTAATTCTATCAGTGCTGCTCACATAACCAAAAGCCTACATGCCTGGTTATGATCTCTACTGAAAGGGATAATTATCTAGTCTTGACTGAAGCCTCCTTCTGCATCAAATGATAAAACCCCTAGGATTTGTCATTAGTAGCACTTAATTAGTGGTCTCCAAACTGCAGCCAGGGGTCGGATTTGGCCCTTTCCTTGTTTTTATCCGGACCCTGGGGCACTATGTCTTCCAGAGACACCAATGATGGGGCACCATTCCTCCCACTGACACCAGTGTTGGGACACGTTCTCCCACTGACGCCAATGCTGGGGCACTATTTCTCCCAATGACGAGGCACTATTCCCACAGACACCAATGATGGGGCACCATTCCTCCCACTGACACCAATGACAGGGCACTATTTTTCCCACTGACACCAACAATGGAACACAATTCCTCCCACTAAAAACAATGATGGGACATGGTTTACTCCCACTGATGCTGGGGCATCTACTACTCCCAGTGGATAAAATCTGCCCCTCCTAAACCCCAAAAGACAGTAAACTGGCCCTTTGTTTAGAAAAATTGGAGATCCTGTACTAAAGGGAAACCGAGCAGAATTTCTCTGGACAAATAATTTTTGCAATTATTTTTACTTTTCATTTAGGAAAGTGACTATTTAAGGATAATGTTTGATGATAAAGCTTTCATATTGTTATTCTTCCTACAGTATTATTATTAAAAAAAATTGTAAGTTCTTCTAAATACAACATAAAATTACTTCTAGTTATTGGGTGAAAGCATTATCCTCACAAGGAATGTGACAACACTAAATTAAAGTGGACCTTGCACCTGAAGTACAAGGTCCGCTGTATATGTTTGCCTCCCTACCTGAACCGCTAAAAGATAAAAAAAAAAAATCCACCTGTAATGCCTAGACAACAGTGACATCATCACTGCACTTGCACCAAATCTCGCTGGAAAGATGCTTCCATCACTGTGCTGTAGAGAGATTGGGAGTGCTCATACCAGAGGAAAGGTGCGTGTATATACAGTGCTCAGCATAAATGAATACACTCCTTTAAAAAAGTAAGATCTTAATCAATATCTCAACACAAGAACAATCCCCAACATTTTGACAAAACTGTGTGTTATAGAACATTTGTTTAGCTCATTACATAAAAGTAAGGTTAATAATATAACTTAGATTAAAAAATCTTCAGTTTTACTCAAATTAGTTGATGCAAAAATTAATATTCCTCACAACACAAACTATTACATCTAGTATTTTGTATGAGCTCCATGATTTGTAAGGATAGCAACAAGTCTTCTATGTATGGAATGAACAAGTTGACGGCATATTGCAACATCTATCTTTTTCCATTCTTCAAGAACTATGTCTTTTAGAGCCTGGACGCTGGATGGAGAGTGATGCTCAACTTGTCTCTTCAGAATTCCTCATAGGTGTTCGATTGGGTTCAGATCAGGAGAACATACTTGTCCATTGAATCACTTTCATCCTGTTCTTCAGAAATGCATCAGTGGCCTTAGATGTGTGTTTTAGATCATTGTCATGTTGGAAAAGTGCATGACGACCAAGGGCATGGAGTGATGGTAGCATCTTCTCTTTCAACATAGAGCAGTACATGTGTGAATTCATGATACCATCAATGAAATGCAGCTCCCCGACACCAGCAGCACTCATGCAGCCACACAGAAGAACACTGCCACCACCATTGTCACTGTAGGCAAGGTGCATTTGTTCCGTTGCGACCCCATACAGTTTCAAAAACATTTATCTTAGTCTCATCACTCCAGAGTGGAGTCCTGTAGTCGTCTTCTTTTTCAGCATGGGCCCTGGCAAATTCTAGGTGGGCTTTTTTGTGCATGGGCTTTAGGAGAGGTTCCCTTCGCATGCATGCCATTCCTCTGCAGTGTATGCTCTATTGTGTCATGGGAAACAATTGCCCCACTTTGGCTTTCTACTTCTTTAGCTAACTGCAGTGAACTTGCATGGTGATTTTCTTCAACCCTTCTCATCAGAATACGCTCCTGTCAATTTGTTAACTTCCATGGACGGCCTGGTCATCTCTGTGAGATGGTTGCAGTGTCCATCTTTGTTTGTTCCATCAACAGTATTTTGGCTGATAAGTAAAGCTTTACGGATCTTTTTGTAGCCTTCACCTGTCCTGCGTAAAGAAAATATTTTTTCTTTTGCAAGCCTTGTGACATTGTGGTGCCATTGCTGATAGCATAAAATGGTAAGGGGTTTTCTTTGTTAAGTAATACCCTTTTATAATCAACTGTCTGCTGAACACCTGTTCAATGAATAATTAGACTCACCTGTAGTTTAATTCTTGTTAATTAGGATTTTGTTAACTTAAATGTAGTTTGCTCCTAAGACTTTCATTGGGGTGTATTCATTTTTCCAACATGGTCTTGAATGAGTTTGTTAGGAAACATACTTTTTTGTGTGTGCAAATTAACAAATCTTAATTGAAATCAATGGCTGGCATCTGTGGGAGTATTTTGTAGTATAATGTCCCATAGAAAATGATAATTCTGAAAGTAAAGTAAAGGTTTTCTGACAAATTTGTTGGGGTGTACTCATTTATGCTGAGCATTGTATATATCAATAAAGTGTAACATTTTACCTCCAAATGTTCTGCATTTATCGATGGCTAACATGGTGCAACACACTGTACTACATTGAAAAAAAAAAGAAGAAAACTGGAAACTCTTTTCCCTGTAGTCTTCCAGAGCAGCATATGAGAATCAGAGGCTCCTCCTGGAAAAAAAACATGTTGTAAAGCTAAAGGTTATAAGGAGGTCCTTCTGTTGTCTATAAGAAAACACAACAATAGGCAAAAGATGAGAAATACCGCTGTCCTTGAAGACTACAGGAAATGGAATTAGTTAAGTCTAACTCTGAATTTCCCGTTGGCTTCCAGGACAGCATATGAGATGATAAGATCTTACAAGACTAGGGAGGGACCACAGCCTGCCGGACCTATCTGTTTCAAAAATGTTATTGTCGCGTTCCAAAGAAAAATGTTTAAAGCAATAGCCCCATGCAGGGGAGATGGCCCATGCAGTGGCAGATGGAACTTGTAGTCTCTCTATTTATAAATTTCTATGAATAGATAACATGGCTGTGTGGATAACGCATACCTGGGTCAAAATCAAATGAAAACAGCAGAAACACCCTGCAAACCAGGCATGTGGTGGGGTGGTTTTGAGAGTGGGGAGTTAGAGAATGTGACCATGTGTCATGTCTACTCTATCCTGTAAACTTTTTGAGATGGAATATCTAGAGATGATCCGTTGTTGATAGACAGGAACTGAATTTCTTACAAACCGTGCCACAATGGCTTTCTCGGCCGTTTTATGATTAGAATAAGGGTACAAATCAGTCAGTCAGAAAGGTCCTTTGTCTTTAGGAGCTGCTCCTCAGAAGCTAAGCTTCTAAGAGGAAAGAACTGGTTGCTCTGGAAGAAGCCTGGCCAAAGCACTGGCTAGTGGTAGCAGAATGGAAAACCAAGGTCTCTTTCACAAGAATGGAGCAATTATATTTATTTCTATATTCTCAAAGTAAAAATTCTGAAGAACCCGCAGAGGCAGTCTAAACAGGTTAATGTGTAATTAGATTGGTGAGAGTATCTATGCCAACTGCACAATCTTTGGGGCTGAGAGAAAAAAGGTTCCTCTTGGAATTGTTCTGTAAGGCAAACAAATCTGCCAGGTAATTGTGAAAACCCTTTAGATGGGTAGCAGAGAACTCAAATTCTTTTCTGCCCAAATGAAGCATATTATCGTCCATTGCCTCCATGATATAAGCCTCCTATATACGCAACTGTAGTGGAATTGCCTGAAAAGAATAGTAGGTGATGCCTTCTGGCTTCCTCTTGAAAATAGCTCAGAGCTCTCCATGCTGTATTCAGTTCCCTACAATTGCACGACTGCCTTTGGTGTTGACATTCTAAATCTTGTATTCTGGCAGAAAACTCTTTGAAAATTGGCACTTGATAGAGTATGCAGGAAATTGACTTTTTTAATTTTTTTTTTCGCATTGAATAGCTATCCCAGATCAGTGATACAGTACAATTGTGATCTGAAGTAGGGCAGGGCAGGGCTTCCCTCCACCACATTAAAGAATATCCCTGGTGCTGAAAACAGTCTGAAAGAGAGAGCTCTGAATCGAGAAAATTTCAACTTCATTGCTAGGCACAGAAACATCTGTAAGCAGTCTTGTATGGGTACATGTAGATAAGTTTCTCTTAAATCTAAGGTTATCATGAATCTTCTTTTAGAACTGATTTTACGGATAAGATCAAGTCTATGTGAAATGTGTACCTTGTTAACTTGCTTAGGGGCCTGAGATTCAGGATCAGTGAGAACTTTCCTGATAGACTCTTGACAATGAAGACAGTAGAAACCTCTGCCCTGCACACAACATAAACTGAGATGGTTCATCAATTCTCCCAAAAAAATGGAAAGCACTCCTGACTTCTCTGGTTAACAGGAAACTTTCTATAGGGGAGTACTGATAAATTTCATCCCCAAGTTAAAACGATAGGAGGTCACTTACTTCAACTGTGGAAGTCTGCTAACCTTCCTCCCACAGGAATTTTTAGAATTTGGAGGGCTGGTTGAGAGGGTTAACGAAGACCTCCACCTTACCCTTTTCTTCCTTGCTTGACCAATATTTGTTATATGTAATTTCTTTGGATGCATCCCAAAAAAGGCATTCTTGGGCCTTGAAAAAACTTTAGCTAAAAGGATTTTCCTTAGTAACCAAAAAGTTTTTTCTCTTATTGGCTGTGAGCTAAAGCGTAATCTTCAATTCAGGGCAGAACAGGAAATCACCTTTAAAAGGCAAGCTGCATAAACGAAGCTTTGAATCTGAGTCACCCAACCAAGTATTAAGCCACAGACCATGTTGGAATTAATTCAACAGGTCCCAGGATCTGGCTGACATTCTCAAAGGTCCAGAAGAAACATCCGCTGTAAAGTTTACAGACTTGAAATGCCTAGGAAGAGAGTCTAATTTTTTCCTAGGGGTGCCTAATTTTAGTGGTGGCTTCAACTAAAAGAGCCAAAATACTTAATTCCTAGCTGTACAGGTTATAGCCAGGGGGATACTGAGATTAGAAATAATGGAGTCCCAAGCCCTTTTAAGAACGATAGAACTCTTCTTTTCCATTAAATCCTTCAGAATGCCCAAATCTTCAAAAGCAAGGTGCATATTTTTGGACATTATAGAAAAAGGTGTGTATAAGCAAGGGTTCTTACTCCACAAGCACACAGTATCCTCTTCAAAAGGGAATCTGTTCCTCCGCTCCGCGTTATCTTTCACCTCACTATCCCATCTTTTACACAGCCTCGGCTCCTGAGAAGCGCCGGGGTGTTCTGATAGCTTTTAAACGCAATCTCCCCTTTGTCTGTTCTAGGCATATAGCGGACCCCACAGGCAGGTATTTGCTTCTGCAAGGCACCCTCTGGGACCAGGAGGTTACCTTTGTCTCTTACTATGCGCCTATCCGTTTCCAGCATAAATTCTTTTTGCATCTTTGCACCATTGTTTCTCGACACTCTAAGGGTCTTCTTCTTGTTATGGGGGATTCGAATGTTACCTTGGATTCCACATTGGATAGGCGCTACGCACGGGGAGCGACCCCCTCTCATGACTTGGTGCTAGAGGAACGTATGCGCTCTCTTTTGCGGACGGCGGGGCTAGCGGACGTCTGGAGGGAACTTCATCCAACTGAATGCGACTTTACGTTCTATTCCAATCCTCATGACAGTTTTTGTAGAATTGATCATATATTCATGCAGGTCCAGCAGCTCCCCTCGGTCCGACGGATAACTATTCCCTCCTCACCCTGGTCAGATCACGATCCCTTGGTACTCCTCCTTGCCCTTTCTGGGTCAGGACGGCGCCCTTTTCATTGGCGCATCATTGACTCTTTGCTGACCACTCAGGCTACCTGCCAACAAATAGAATTCTTTTTACGAACATACTTTGCGGAAAATTCGGGATCGGTCTCTTCAGCAGTGCCCCTTTGGGAAGTGCATAAGGCCACGATGCGGGGGTCATGTTATACAGCTGGCTGCGGTCCGGAAGCGGGAGCGGGAACGCCGACTCTTGGAGCTTCATTCTCTCCTGGCCTCTGCGGATGCGCGTTGGAAGTCATCTCCATCCGTGGCCCATAAACGCGCTTGGGACGCTCTGGCGACAGAATTGGACCTCCTCGCCTCTTCGGAGGCGGAACAGGCCCTGCGTTGGACCAGACACAAATTTTACTCCTGCGCTAATAAGCCCGGTCCCATGCTAGCCAGGAAACTCAATTCTGTGGGGAAACCCCATAAACCAATTCGACTTCGACTTTCCACAGGTGGCTGTACTTCTAATCCCCAGCAGATTGTTTCCCGATTTTCGGACTTCCTTTCGCGCCTCTATGCTGCCCCAGATCCTTTCCCTGTGGCCCAGGCAGAGGCATTCTTTCAAGACCTCCATCTTCCCGGATTAACCGAGGCAGCACAGGCAGCCCTCAACGCTGGTGTCACCGTACCGGAAGTGCTCCAAGCGATCAAATCTTTACGGTCCACCGCGGGCCCCAGGTCCCGACGGCTTCTCCGGTCTCTATTATAAAAAATTCTCAGCCCTATTGGCGCCCTTCTTAGCGGCCTATTTCAATGAGTTACGACAGGGCTCTTTGCCTTCTCCGGACGCACTTAGGGCACATATCTCTATGATTCCTAAGACGACCGACGATGTCCAGGAACCGCAAGCCTTCCGGCCCATTTCTCTTCTTAATGAAGACCTGAAGATAATGGGCAAGATCCTTAGTTTTCGCATCAATAAATATTTGTGTAGCCTGGTCCACTGGGACCAAGTAGGGTTCGTCCCCGGGAGGCAGGCGGGTGATAACGTCCGTAAGGTGGTCCATCTTATACATTTTCTGCAACAACGGAAAATCCCAGGATTCCTACTGTCCTTGGACATATATAAAGCTTTTGATTCTCTATCTTGGGAATATCTGCGGTTTGTGCTGTCTCGTTGGGGTTTCGGGGATTCTATTCTCTCTTGGATTCAGGCCTTATATTCCTTTCCCTCGGGCCTCCGTTAAATACGCTGGGTATTTCTCGGATCCCTTTCCTGTTGGGCGAGGGACGAGGCAGGGTTGCCTGCTGTCCCCGGCGCTCTTTGTCCTGGCGCTTGAGCCACTGGCTTTAGCGCTCCGGACCGATTGCAATATATCAGGGGTTCCATACGCGGGACAGGAGTTTAAGCTGAGCCTCTTTGCGGACGATGCCCTCTTGACCCTTACTAATCCTCTGACGACGCTTCCTAACTTGCAACGAGTTCTTGAGCGCTTTTCCTTGATTTCGGGTCTACATATCAACTTGGATAAAACCGTCGCTCTTAATATTACTTTGGCTTCAGATTTGGTTTCGCGCCTACAATCCCACTTCCCTTACCGGTGGGCTTCCTCTTTTTTGGAATACTTGGGCATTCGCTTGACCCCCACCTATGACTCCCTTTTTGCTGCAAATTATTATCCTTTGCTTAGCTCTTTATCTTCTCTTATGCATTCCTGGCAATTTCCGCACCTGTCTTGGATAGGACGGGTTCATTCAGTGAAAATGACCATCTTGCCGAAATTGTTATATTATTTTCGCACCCTCCCGATGCGGGTTCCCCCTCACTTTCTTCGGTTGCTTCAGGCGAAGTTCATGCGTTTTACCTGGGCCGATAAACACCCCAGAGTTTCTAGAAATACGCTCTTTGCTCATAGACTCCAGGGTGGTCTAGGGGTACCCAATGTAGCTAAGTATTATCAGGTGAGCCAGATTGCCCCGCTGTCTATGTTGCACGCTTCCTCCGATGTTCCTCTCTGGGTCCTGCTGGAACTACCTAATTGTGCCCCTATCGCACTGTCGACACTCCTATGGCTTCCCCCTGCCCTGCGCCCTATGGCGCTGAGTCCGATGTTGCTCCATGGCCTACAAGTCTGGGACTCGGTACGTTACTCCAGTGGCCTGATGTCACCCTTTTTGCCCTTGCTTCCAATCGTTAACAACCCTCTTTTCCCACCGGGTCTAGATTGCCCGAGGGCATTTCTTGGTGGGTGGCTCATGGTTTCTCACAGGTGCAACACTTTTTGACTTTTTGGTCCTTTCCCGCCTGGAATGTCCTTCGGGAGTCTCGGGATGTTCCCCCAGCGGAATTTTTTCGGTACCTTCAATTGCGGCACTGGCTACTTTCGCTGAGGGCCACTTCTGCTTTCCCATATCAGAAATCTGCCTTTGAACGGCTTTGCCAGCAGCACCCGGGCGCCCCGGGCCTTATCTCCCTTCTTTACGCAGCTTTGAACAGACACTTGTCTCACACTTCTCTTTCATATGTTGTCAGTGGGAACGCGACCTGGGAGTGGCTGTGGATCCGGAGGACTGGAGTAGGGCCTGGTCACTCATAGCTAAATGTTCATTTAATACGACCACGCTGGAAGCAGACTACAAGGTATTGTTCTGTTGGTACTGGGTTCCGGCTCGTCTGGCCCAGGCTAACCCTGCCTGTAGTGATCAATGTTTTCGGGGTTGTGGCCATCGTGGCGATGTACTGCATATCTGGTGGTCATGCTCGAGGTTGGTTCGTTTTTGGTCTCGTGTGTTTGGCCTCCTTTTCACTTTGTTTCATCTCTCCATACGCCGGGATGCTCGGTATGCTTTGCTTCATTGCCCCATACCGGGCCTCTTGGCTCGTCAGCAGCGGTTGGCTTCCTATTTGTTTTTATCGGCTACTAGGACAATTGCTCAGGCCTGGAAGAGTCCGTTTGTACTTTTCCAGGGGGTGCGGGATCGTATGACTACTATGATGCTCAACGAACAGATGTCGAGTATATGCAACGACTCTCAATATAAATTTTTGAAAGTATGGGAGCCGTGGTTGCAATACGCCTTTCCCACGCTCCCCCCGGCCAGTGTGGGGAGGTAATGGAGTTTGGTATTGGCGCTCGTGGACCCCTGCTCTTTGTTTTTTTTTTTTTTTTTTTTTCCCTTTCTTCTCTGCTCTTCTTCTCTCCTTTTCTGTTTGTTTTGATGTGACAGTGGACAACTGTCTTTAGTTGCGATAGTCAGAGTCTTATTGATGTTATTGTAACCTATGTGCCATTGATAGCCCCTGCGTGGGCATACGTTTTGCCTTATTGGAATTAGAGCGTTGTCTGCTCTATTATGCCTTTTTTATTGGTGCAATTGATAGCCCCTGCATGGGTGTGTTTTGTTGCCTCTGTTTTATACTGTTTAAAATGAATAAAAACCATTGAAATACAAAAGGGAATCTGTGCTTAAGATTAGTCAAGAAGAATGGCTCTCTCTCAGGATCCCATTTTCTCAAACAGGTGCGGACTGACAACTCATGGGGCCCCAGGCAATAGGGGATCATGGGGCCCCTGTGTCCTTGCCCAAACTCAAAAAAGCCTATGAAAAAAGGTACCAGGGGCATCTCATGGGGCCCCCTACTGACCCCAGGCCCTCGGGCAGAGTCCGAGTTTCCAAATGGTCAGTCCGCCCCTGTTCTCAAAATAGAATCAGCTGTACGTTGTGCACAGGAGAAACAATTTATTTTCCAGAAGACACCGATACATTTGATCACGCAGGAGAAGTTGAACTTTCATCTTACAAGGACAATTTAAATTTAGAGGGTCTGGAAGCACTATCCACAGCAAGGTCACTGTGCACAAATTCTAGATTCCCTAGAAGGGATGTCTCTAACTGCTGAAGGAGAGGTAGCTGGAGTGAACCTTTGATTTAGGTAGTGTTGGGGGGGTTAAGAGACTGGAGGACAGGAAACACTACTCCACTATCCCTAGTAAGGACTGGGGAAGGGGAGAAAAGAAGGATGGTTAACACTGGTCACCATATGAAAGGCACCACCACCACCACCAACATGACTCTTCTGGTTGGAGGAAACATAAAAAAACCGATGACAATGGAAGGACAACCTTTTAACCTTTAGCTTTACAGTGTGTTTTTTGTCTAGGGAGGAACCTCTGTCTTTCATATGCTGTCCTGGAGGGCAACTGGGAAAACATATATATAACACACACATGTACACGTCACATAGTTGTTTGGCTTCGTTTTAAATTATAATAACAGAAATCATCCAAATGGCCCTGATCAAAAGTTTACATACCATGGAATGTTTGGCTTTGCAACAGACATACAAGGTGACACACACAGGTTAAAATGGCAATTAAAAGGTTATTTCCCCACATCTGTGACTTTTGAAATTGAAATTAGCGTATGGGTGTTATAGTCAATGAGTTTGTTAGCTCTTACGTGGATGTAATGAGCAGCCTAGAACTGAGCCACGGGGAGCAGAAAATAACTGTCAAAAGATCTGTGTAACAAGCTAACAGAACTTTAAAAAGATGGAAAAAAATATGAAAAGAATGATCGAGTTGCCAGAATGAAGCCTTTACTGCACCAATGCCACACAAAAGCCCAGTTACAATACGTCTGACAACACCTTGACACACCTCACAGCTTTTGGTACACTGTAATATGGGGTGACAAGACCAAAATAGAGATTTATGGTCACAAACATAAGCGCTATGTTTGGAGAGTGGTCAACAGGGCCTATAGCGACAAGAATACCATGCTGTGAAACATGGTGGTGGCTCACTGAGGTTTTGAAGGTGGGTGAGCTCTAAAGGCATGAGAAATCTTTTGAAAATTGATAGTGAGATGAATGCAGCATGTTATCAGAAAACACTGGCAGACAATTTGCATTTTTCTACATGAAAGCTGCACATGGGATGCTCTTGGACATGCCAGCATGACAATTACTATAAGCACAAGGCCAAGTGGACCCTCCAGTGGTTACAGCAGAAAAAGGTGAAGGTTCTGGAGTGGTCATCAAAGTCTCCTGACCTTAAAATCATTGAGCCACCCTGGGGAAATCTTAAACGTGTGCAAGATGACCAAATGACCTGGAGGCATTTTGCCAAAACGAATGAGTAGCTATACCAACTGCAAGAATTCAGGGCTTCATAGACAACTATTACAAAAGGCTTAAAGCTGTCTATGATGCTAAAAGGGGCAATACACAGTATTAAAAACTAAGGGTATGCAGACTTTTGAACAGGGGGCATTTATTTTGTTAACTTATTGCCATGTTTTGTTTTATGATTGTGCCATTCTGTAATGACCTACATTTAAATATGAATCCCATTAGAAATTAAAAAAATGTGTTTTGCCTGCTCATTCATGTTTTCTTTAAAATGGTACATATATATTACCAATTCTCCAAGGGTATGCAAACTTTTGAGCACAACTGTATTCCAAAGCAGGCCAAATGCAGCCTCTGAACTGCCAGCTGTACTTGCGATTTTGATGACCTACTTTTGCATACAAACCTTTAAAGACTATAATAAACTGCATCTCCACAGCTTGGTGTATAATGCTAAATGTGCTCCGCAATTTGATAAACAGTACTAACAAGAATGCATGAAACAAATTTGGGGCAGAATGCTTGGGTTTGTGTACTACAGTTTCCCAAGAAATATCAAAAGGCATCACACAATTCAGTTCACTTGGATAATGCTTTAATACTCTGCAAAATCTCTAAGATTGACTGAAAAATAGGGAATTGTCGTGCACTCCCCAGTAATGCCTTCGTACAGCCACATCCACCTACATTCTGTCATAGCCCTGTGTGTCAGTACACTTGAAAATGAGCAGAAGTGGAACCGTCTTTCCACAAGCGAAGGGTTTCCACAGCTAAAGAACGACAGAGTGGGCAAGTTCTCTCTCTGTCAAACCAAAGGCAAAGGCACTCCTCACAGAACACATGCTGAAAGAAAAAAGAAAAGAATAAATAATGCTTGCCTCAGTGTTCCTGTGTGCAAGAAATGAAGCCTACCACTTGTGGTAGCCTACACTCACTAAAGGTGGTACTGGAAGAGGCACATAAAGGATTAGGTGATACTGTGACAGCTGGGACCTTATAGTGATGCACAGAAATTTAAGAGTGGATAAAGCAGTATCTAAATTACAATCAGGCTAGAAGTGACCATTTCTAACTACTGCACATGCAATTTGGAGAGAACAGAAACACATTAACCTTTTAGTTAGTAGGTAATATTGCAAGCACAAACATCCATACTTTGTCCACACTGCTACTATTGCCAGACAGCATCGTCTACATTAGCTCTGTTTTGCACAAGTATCCACCTTCCTTTTACTTTTACATATTTTGTAGATATGATGAGGACATCCCTATATTCTACCTTTTCTGAAAGCATGTCCATTGCCAACACTGCAAAGAAAAAGCCTGAGACCTGGTTCACACTAGTGCGTGTCGTGCAGCCCATGTTTGCTCGGGTATGACAGCCCATTAATATGAATGTGCTACTGTGCCATGTGGACCGACCACACAAAAAAGGTGCATACACCTTTTTAAAAACATGGCCCCATGCGGTTTTCCTGCTGTTCTCACACCCGTGATTGCACTGCAGGCTGAGATACGTGGGGGTGCCATTTAGAATTTAGACCAGCAACTGGAATGTACAGTGTGGGCTAGTGTGAAATAGCTCAAATTGCCAACCCTCCCTCTCCTGGTCTGAGTGCTGCTGTGCATGGCCTTACAGGAGGAAAATATCAAGAGAGATTCAGGAATATGTTAGCTGCATCTAAAATACATTTAATGGTTTCTTTTTTAATCAGTAGACAGCTGGATTAAATATGCTTTATCTGCAGCAAAAAAAAAAAAAAAAAAAAAATGAAAACAAAGGTTATATTACCTGGCACATTAGGATTATGGGATCTTTGAAATCTGCCTGGCAAATAGCACATATATCCCCAGCTTCACTACATTGCTGGCTGCTGGCACGAACACCATATTTCTGTATAGGAAGAGTGCAGAAAATATATGAACACATACTTCATTGCACATTAAAATATGAATAAGCACAAAATTATAAATTATTAAGCATAACAAAAATAGAGTATTGTCTATACTGAAATGCCACTATACAATGTACATTATTCAGGTGCACTATCCAGTTGTTGGCTGTGAGAAAGGCATCCACCTAATTCACAGGGTCATGAATGAATGAATGAATCATACTCAATCACATGGGGGGGGCGGGATCTGGGGGGCCCTTGTTGAAGGGGGCTTTCAGACTCCGATAAGCCCCCTGCCCACAGACCCCCACAACCACTGGCCAGGTTGTGGGGAAGAGGCCCTTGTCCCCATCAACATGGGGAGAAGGTGCTTTGGGGGGTGGGGGGAGCAACCCCCCCATGTTGAGGGCATGTGGCCTGGTATGGTTGAGGAGGAGGGGGCGCTTGCTCGTCCTCCCCCCTTTCCTGACTTGCAGGGCTGCATGCTTGGATAATGGTCTGGTATGGATTTTAGGGGGGACCCCCATGCCATTTTTTTTTTTAATTTTGGCGTGGGAGTTCCCCTCAAAATCCGTACCAGACCCGGAGGGCTTGGTATGGATGGGAGGGGGGACCCCACACCATTTTTTATGTATTTTTTTTAATTGCCGGCAATTCTTTTACATTCAGCTGTCAGTGGGGAACCCCGCAGACAGTTGAAACATTGACACATGGTTGTCACTACTAAAATACTGCATGCCTTGATAAAATAACTAATGCGGTATTTTAGTAGTGTTTACTTTTTTGTGACCTCAGGAACGGATTAATTGGTTTTCAATGCATTCCTATGGGAAACAGCATTTCAGTTTACACATTTTTTGCTATACCAAGGTATGCCTTCCTTTTTCTGAAGCCATTCTGGTGGAGTCTCCAGCGGCAGATGCTATGTGCAGGAGAGAACCGACAACAGCTGTGAAGTGCCTAGGAAATGATGTGACCCCTAGACTTACTATGGGGCTTCTGTTTTAGGCTGCCTCTCCTGCACACGTCTACCCACTGAAGCCGCCGCTGACAGCTCAGCATGGGACCGGACCGGAGTGGCTGCGGAACAGGTAAGTATAGTGATTTCTTCTTTATAGGGCTAGATAGATTAGTTTAGAATATGGCTGTGAGTAGGTTTAGAGATAACTAGGTTTTGAGTAAACTTCTAATTTAATGTTGTAAAAAGCTTGGGCACAGACTTCAATAACAGAAGCACGATTTACACACACATAACACACTTTTGAATGAGTGAGAGTGATTCATCCTTTAGGCAGCCCATGCATAAAAGTCAGTTTTTTTTTTGCTCAATCAGTGGACTGGTGAGATCTCTCCAAGGAAGATCCTAGTCTTCCTATTCAAGGTGTATCACACCTCAAACCACAGCAAGAAGTATTCCTGTAGCATAATCTCTAAGTTGTACATCTCTGCCATACATGCACAATTACCCATGTTTTATCCATTTAAAGACCATGCAAGTACAGAAAAATACCTGTTGATATGCTAGAAGTGCACTCAGACCATAAAGCTGCCCATAAACTAGTAGAATTTACTTACATTTTTTTGAGAAGATCGAAAGAGCAGAATGGAAAATTTTTCTCGTACAAATTTCTAACACTGAGTGTGGTTTTCATTTGGAAAATTATTAATTCCAAAATG